TATAGATGATTGTTCATAAACTATACACAGTTTTTTCCTTTTAAAAAATGTGTATAAATTTTTTGGTGCCCTCTGTATACGAGGTTGGACAATGAAGTTCATGAACTGTCCACCATGCGCTTACACAGTGAAAAGTGCATGGATATTACATATATGAAATGTATGTATTTACATATATTACACATATGAAACAGTGAAGAATCAGGAGCAATCAAAATGTTCCAAAATAGGGGACTGGTGGATAAATTATGGTATCTCTACAGTGTGGATACCATATGGCCATTAAAGATGTGTTTGCAGGCTACCAAAGCATAAACAATCCTATGTATAGAATACATAAAATCTTACATACAGAATCTCAAACATGCAAAATATTTGTATTTTGTGTTGTAAAATATAACTGCCTAATAGATGTGACTGCATAGAAATAAAACCAGCTCCTAACAGTTGTATTTGGGTGAAAGGAGAGTATAGAGTTGACTTTTATTTCTTATAAGTTTTTACATTTTTCAAATTTTCTACAGTAGACATAAATTATTATCATCAGGAAAAACATTAACAATAAATGAAACTGAGTTGTGCAATTATTTAGTACAATTCTTAGCTATCTACCTCCTTTGCTGAATTCCTACAAAAAAGCCATATTTTGCATTTATTTAGAAATTTTCACAGAAATGTCTAATATACTTGTCAGCAAATTTTCTTTCAGTAAATAACCTTACCTCCGATTGTCTCAGAAGATTGAAGCCATCCCTTTACTTCTCTGCACTTCAAAATCTCTTAATCAATAATCCATTGCTTTCCTTTCTCCTTTCTTGGAGGAAATAAACAACTCCTTCTTTTCAACATGAAGTCGCTAACCTAATACTGTGGGTCCCTTGGTCTCTAGTGCCCTGCTCTTTACAATTCCAACTTCTCTGCTAACTCTTTTCTCTCCACCTAAAATCGTCACCTCAAGGCCCCACCACCCTACAGTGTCCTCTGCAAAATGCTTTCTACCCCTTGCTCTTCCTACCCCATCCGTCTTGGTCTTTGCCAGCTTGACATGTTGGGGCAACTCTTTGTTTCTCAGGCCACCTCCTCCTCCTGCAGCCCCTCATAGTCCTCCTGCCGCTCACGTGCCTTTCCTCCTGTGGCATTGCTTTCTTGCTCCTTTTCTGCCTCTCTACCTTTGCTCATCTGTTTTGGATAGCCCCTGCTCCATCTCCAGCTGTGATACAGTGCCTAGCCTTTGGGCCTGGCTTAAATGCCATACCTCATCCGCAACACCCCCGGGAGGTTTGCTTTCTTCCTCTTCCCAAGCCACATACCCCTTTGAATACCACAGTTTGTGGAGCACACGTGGTTAACAGGTGCCCTCACAGGAGTGGGTTTATCATCATGCGCTCAGACACACACACACACACACACACACAAATGGCAGCTTTAAAACACAGTTACAAAGCCTTGGACCTTCCTCTCATCAAAAGGTCGGCTTTGTGTCCACTCCCCTTGAAACTCTGTGGCCTTGCAACTGCTTCAGCCCCCAGAGTGCATCAGAAACGACACTCGGTGATTTCAAGGCTAGGTCACAGAAGGCCAGCAGTTTCTGACCTTGTTCACTGGACACCCCTCTCCTGGAGCCCTGAGCCACCACTAAGATCTCTGATTACCTTGAGGTCATGAAGGTAACCTGCCATGCTGGAGAGGCCACGTGTGGGTATGCCAGGTGACAGTTCCCCACCGTGGCCCCGGCCATCTTCATCCTTCCAGACCAGGCCACCCACCTGCTGAATACCACCAAGGGACCACTGTTCAGTGCCCGCTGGAGCAGAAGGCTCTCCCAGCTGAACTTGGCTTGAATCCTGAGATACAGAAGATGGTGGTTATTTCCAGCTATTAAGCTTTGTGGTAGCTTTTTATGCAGTGAGAGAACTGGAACATGTGCATGTGAACTGTGCTGAACTTTAAAAACCATCGTTAGGTGTTTACCTCATATGAACTTGCTGTTCTCTCCCGTATTTCACTGCTCTTGCCCAGTTTCATATTACTGCAAGGCCGCGGCTACAGCATCCTTTAAAGTCATGTTACCCTCAGACTGTGGCTAGAACCTGGACATGCCTTGCGAGAGTCTTCTGGAGACCCAGGGCCTGCCCTGCAGGGCTTCTGCAGCCCTGGCTCTCAGAGCTGACAGGAATCACAAGAGAGGTGGGCTGTCTCTCTTCCTCTTCCTGGCCCGCTGCTCTGGACAGTGAGCAGTCGTAGCAATGCTGGGATAGTCTCTTCTGTCGAAACCTTTACATCACGTGATTGCTACGTACCACGCTGCTGACTAGCTGCTTCCCTCTTGGCCTCTCCCAGGGGACCATACGAGCTGGAGCTGACATCCCTGCCACGCCACCCCAGAGGCTATCCCAACCATTTCTCAGACGAAAAAAGGAAATATGGAAGAGAAGAGTGCAGAGATACACAAGAGGGGAGCCAGCGTGGGGTGAGAGGAGAGGGGCTCAAGTGGTGGGACAGGCAGTGTGCTCCCAGACGGAGGCTGCTTTCTACATCAGTGTTCTCGGTCATTGACATCATGAGGGGACAGGTGACCAGGCTTTGTGAGAAGCCTTGCTCTTGGTAGAGCCTTGCTAGTTAATGTGACACAGAGCTAATGATGTAAGTGATCACTGGTGTGCAGTATGATAATTAGGCATAAAGGGCAAGCAGTTCATGTAAATGGGTTTAATTATCTCAACAGGGTGAGACGATGAGAGCAGTTTGTAGAGATGGTGGCTCTATAGGAAAGACTTTCACTTGGGATCAAAAAGTGAAATTCACAAACACGGGATTGGGGCAACCCAGTCAATCAGTGGCAGGCACTAAACGTTAGGGTTTGTAATTCTACTCCTGGGTCTTTACCCAAAAGCATTGGACGCAAGAACTCAAAAAGATATTTGCACACCTATGTTCATAGCAGCATTATTCACATAGCCAGGTGATGGAAACAACCCAAGTGTTCATCAACAGATGAATGGATAAGCAAAATGTATATATTTACAACAGAATATTTTTCAGACTTAAAAAGGAAGAAAATTTTACATGCTAAAATAGCAATAAATTTTAAAGACATTATGTTAAGTGAATAAAGCTGTCGCAAAAGGACAAATACTGTGTGATTCTACATATATGGGGTACCTAGAGTCGTCCATAGGGACAAAAAATAAAATTGAATTGTGGCTGCCACTGGCTGGGAGGAGCGGGGAATAGGGAGTTAGTGTTTAATGGGGACAGAGTTTTAGTTTTGCAAGTTGAAAAAGTACGGGGAATAGATGGTGGGGATGGTTGCACAATAACATGAATGTACTTAATGCCACTGAACTGTATTTAAAAATGGCTAACTAAGGTGGTAAATTTTATATTATGTGTATTTTACCACAATTTTTTAAAAGTTAGTACAGTAAAACCTTGGATTGCAAGTAACTTGGTTTGCGAGTGTTCTGCAAGATTAGCAAACATTTCTAATACATTTTAACTTGGTTAACGAG